ATTGTCATCCTCATCCCATCTAATGCTCATAATTTAAAGGTTAATGAATAAAATCATATCCAAATCTGCACATTTTTTCCAAACCTTCAAAGGCAAAAATACATTTTGACAAAGATGTTTAACATGGCCAAAACACAATACATTTTGTGAACAACTCAGCAAATTGCAATGGCACACTTCTAGAAAAGATCTACTCTGATAAGAGCTGTGGAAATAAAATCACAGTGCTTTCAAGAGGTTGACAATGCCTGCTGACTTTGCCCAGTGCTCAGTCTCTTGACACCCTGCTCTGTGCCATTTTAAAAGAAACTCACCTCTCCTAATTAAGAATAGACAGGATGTCATTTTAATAAGAGTATTTTCTATTCCCAAAGAATCACAAGAGGACTTAAAAATTGAAGCCAAAATGTACATTCAGTCCCCCAAAGTAAATCCCAGTACAAAAGACAGTAGATATTTAAGTGGCAAATTGTAGACATCATTTGCTTGATATGGTCATCCAGTTATTAGTCTGGAACAAAAATATTTTTTTAATTCCAAAGATTCATAGCACAGTGTAATAGTCTATTGGAGAATAGCACACTGAACAAAAAAGATGAGAAAAAAACTGAAATTTTTTCAAGTAGATATTTGAGCTGTTTATCTTTGCCATGAGGGGGAAAGAAGGAGGGGAGAAGAAGTAATCTCATTTTCCCCTTGATAACTGAAAAGACTATTTTCCTTTTATACCAAAGCAGGGGAAGTGGAGCTTGAATTTATGCAAACGGACTTCTAAATCACTCCACTGGAATTTTTCTCAAACTTCACTTTCTTTAGAGGAAAATGTCTAGGTAAATCATTCAAAAGGTAGCTGAGAGCATGAGATAAAGTGAGAAAATGATAAGCCAAATCTTATTTTGTAAATGCCATTTTGTAAATTACCAAACATCTATCTTTAACAGCATTATTAGGTAAATAAATGTTCATTTATTCAATGTTCAGATGTGGTCTTTTCAATATCATTCAATTTCCATTCTATGAGGAAGGACTAATAAAAGGGAATTTTGACTTTAGGGCTACATAACTTTGTCCATTCATATACATCTGGATAGTCTGTTTTACACTTTTGTTGTAAATGCGATTTACCTTGTTTGTTGTATATTTTTACATTGCTTCTTTAGTATTTGTAGAAAATATTAAATTGACAATACTAATAAAAAGCAGTTAACACTTTTCAGCACTCGGTTTGTCCCAGGTATTGTAATAAATTTCTCATGTGTTATCTCATTTAGGGCTCACACTAACACTCTGAGGAATCTCTCTTTTACAGATGAAAAAGTTGAGGTACAAAAAAGGGTGAGAAAGTTGCCCGTGATCACGCAGTTATAAATGGTGGATTGGGGATAGAAGTTTAGGCACTGGGACTCCAGAACTCGTGCTATCATCTATCACCAACGTTTTGTCATCAGCAATTTACTAACTGAAATTTAAGCTATATGAAGATATTTTAGATCAGCTGGAATGAACTTTCAAGTTCAATTTGTGATTCAGAGATGACATTTTATGGTAGCTAATAACTCTCCAAATTGCAATTTCTTCCAGAGATGAATGCCAAGAAAATTGAATTTGAACAATTTCTGCCCATGATGCAAGCTATTTCCAACAACAAGGACCAGGGCACATATGAAGACTTTGTTGAGGGTCTGCGTGTCTTTGACAAGGAAGGCAATGGCACAGTCATGGGTGCTGAACTCCGTCATGTTCTAGCCACATTGGGTAAGGAACATTTATTTCAGTAGGCTTCATAGGACAGAATATATAGGAAAGAGCATGACTTAAGGAAATCAAGTTATGACAAAGTAGGTAGGGAAGAAAAGCTATTGGTAAAAAAGAATAGTCAAAAACTAATGACCATTTCTACTGGCCTCCGTGCCAACAAGTTTGTTTGGGGAAAGTGGTAACTTAAGTTACTAGTAATGAGTAAGTAAAGTAAAGCATGGTAGTCCACATAGGATAGAGCTTGGATGATCAGGTATAATGTGTATTTAAGTCATTCATTAGAAACAATTCATTGACAACATACTAAGTGCCAGAAGAACAGGATGGGCTTGATTTCTATCCTCTAAGAGCTTAATCATAGTCTCAAGGAACCCAAAACTGATCAGTTATGGTGAAATTTTGAAAATATTCTCTGGCCTTCTTTCTGAACAAAGAGTTTTCTTTCATCAGGTGAGAAAATGAAAGAGGAAGAAGTGGAAGCCTTGATGGCAGGTCAAGAAGACTCCAATGGCTGCATCAACTATGAAGGTACAATCTCATGTGCTTTGGTATTTACAGCAACTCTTAACTGATTGGGTTGTTGATGGACTCCTTCCAAGCTTAAAATAACTTCATCTCTGTCTTCTTTACTGAACATATACATGTTATTTATTATCAATCAATTACACAATAACTCTAAAAAGATATTCTCTAAGAATCTGGCCGTGTACATAAGATTTTTATTCCTGTGGGTTTTGACAATCCTGGGCATTGTTAAATAGCTTAAAATGTTTTCACATGTATTCTTTCTTGCTAGATCTTTACCACATTTCTGTAAGATAGACAGGGTTTATGCCAGAATAGGGTTTAATAGAATATTAAAGTTGGAGAGATCTCAAAATCTTTAACAGCAAGTAATTATGAAAATGAGGAAACTGAGGGCCAAAGAGGTTTAGTTACTCAGTGAAGGTCACACCATTAATGGAAGGGCTGGTACTAAAATTTAGTTCTTCTCCTTGTCTGGTGTTCTTCCTTTCATGGCCAACTCTCTATGCTGTGCTACCAATTTAGAGCAGCTTCGCCCAAAGGGTTGGAAAAACAACACTCCACACAAAATACAGATGCAAAATAAAATTCCATGACATAATTTGTAAAATTTAAATTTTCCAAAAAAAATTGAGAAACTTTTCTATCAAAAAGACTAATCTAGCCACTTTTCAATAAAGCTACGTTGATAGCTTTGATGTAAATGTCGAGATGAAGTCTAATGACTTGGGGAAAAGTAAGAACAGAAAAGCAGGGAGAAGAAGAGGGGAGGAGAGGGCAGGAGAAGAGGCAAGCAGTCAGCCAAGCACATTTTCACTGACAATCTTAATTAAACTGCACTTTTTCCCCTGCAAACAATGTTTTACGTTTGGTTATTGCCATAAATGCATTATATAAAAGAAGAATCATTCAATAAATATTGTTTGCACAGGTGGTTAGTCATTTAGAAAATAAAGTCAGATCTGGATCTCATACCAGGATAAATTTCAAATGGTTCAAAAATTTAAATGTAAAAGCCAAAAGCATAAAAGCCATGGACGAATTCTTTTATAACTTTTAGAGTGGGAAGGTCCTTCTAACACTGATAAAAACCCAGAAGGCATTACAGGTTTTGATAAATTCAACTACATAATTTTTTTAAATTCCATATGGCAAAAGCCACCAGAAGCAAAGCCAAAAGACAAATAGCAAACCATTAAAAAAAGTAATCAGTATCAGAAAAATCTCATTTTCCTAATTAAAAAAAAAAAACTATTGCATATTAATAAAAAGACTACAACCCAATAGCAAAATTCATAAGTACATTGGAAATTCACATAAAAAGACATTTTAAAAATCTATAAATACAATGTTAAACTTCACTAATAATAAAAGAAATACAGATTAACAGTACAAGGAGATGCCATTTTTCAATAAGCTGATTGCCAAGCATTAGAAGTGTGACAACACTTTGGGTTGAGAAGAGTGGATGGAAACAGGAAATCTCATGCATTCCTGTTGGGAAGGCATATCATTAAAATCCCAATATGGTTATGTAGTACTAACTATTAATTCTAGCAAATCTACATCACGGGATGTAGCTTTTAGACATGCTTGCACTTGAAACAAGTGATACATGATTATTCACTACGTTGTTGTTGGTAATAGCCAAATGTTTTAACAACTTAATGTCCACTAACGTGGTATGTATCAAATAGACTCTGGTACACCTACACAATAAAATACGCCTACACAATGAAATTCCCCACAGCTCCCTCCCCACTCCCCAAATAATAAGGATACTCTGGTTTGCAGTCATTAACTGAGAAAAGAAAAAGAAAAATACTTTGTAGAATATGCCACCATTAGGGTGAAAAAGAGTTTCAGAAACACATATTTGTATTTTCTTATACATGCATAATACCTCCACCAATTTCACCATAAAGAGAGACACTAGATAGATGGGAGGCAGTGGTGAGGAATATTTCTTTTTTATTATAAACTCTTTCATACTTTAAAGAAACTTCTAACCATGTGAATGTACCATTTATTCCAAAAATTAAATTTACAAAGTCAGGGGAAAGGCCATGAATCCAGGATGAAGAATAGTAGACTATACCGAGCTTCAAAAAAATAAATGCTAGTATTACAGCTAAGGAAAATTAAGATTGAACTAACTTGCTAAACCTCTCTTTTATTAAACTTGATGGTTTTCTAACTCTAAACTGTCTATATTATGCCCACAGCTTTTGTCAAGCATATCATGTCTAATTAAATGGAGCTCTCAAGGTAAATATCTGTTTGCTCTTTATTACATAAGCTCTTTCTTGATGCTGTATTTTTTTTATAAATTTAACAGTTTCACTTTGTGCTATAAACATAATTAGTATTAGTTCATAATTAAGATTTATTTATATTTACCAGAAAATATCAACCTGTCGAAATGGGTTATTTGGAAATAGAGGGCTTTTGTATAAATGTGTAAGCAAAAATCTCTGAGACCTTTGCTTCCATCTATAAACCCTAGCTTTGATTGTGTTGTAATTATGCAGTGAAGATTCAAACAAGCCAGAGACTAGTTCATTAATTTATCTGGAACATAACACTAATAAAAGTAGGGGCCTAAGTTCTTTGAATAATAGATGTCGCTTTTAACAATTACTGCTCTAGAAAACGAGGTTATCACAGTTCAAAGTTAAGCACTTGAAACGAGGTTATTATAAGTAGGAAAAGGCTTACCTTGGAAGTGCTGGTTCATTTTGTGTTTTTTCTTCTTTTGCACTTCAGACTATTTCCTCCCCAGCTTTCTTTCTGAAAAGATGCAATCAACATCTAACTCATATTCCCTTTTCCTTTGTAGATCAAGCATTTTTAGGACAACTGGCTGGAAACTTATTGCAATAACACCCATGACTCACTGCCCAGATCTGCGTCCCATCATTCAGAAAACAAAACGATGTGGACCGTTCTAGATGGAAGGACTCCCTGAATTTTTATATACTTCACGTTCCTCTATGAATTGTATTCATACCACACAAGCCAAGTGTCTCCTGCTCTAGACAAGAAGGATAAAATACTCACAACCTCAAATTCAAGCACCACTCTTTATTTTCTACCATGGGTCATTGAACATCCTTAAAACACTAAATCAATAAATAATTCTGGTCAGTCGGGAACGTTCAAGTTGCATTGTGTTTTTACCTTCTTCCTTAGAGAAAATAATTTTTAAATTTTCAAGTCTTTTGTTAACGTACAGAGTATGGATGAATTGTAAACTTCTAAAGAATAAATCCTTGCAGTCTGCATAGTAATCACAAATGGAATAATCATCATCAAAATATTATTGAAAATATGAAATAGGGAACTGAGGAAATTCAGGTAGATCAGAGACATTTTAATATAAATTATCCAGGCAGGTTAAGAATGAAGCAGGTTTTTTCAGTTTTGTGTAAATCATCGTGTACTTGCCTTGACTTATCACTTCTAGTGACAATCTAGCCTATTCATAAGAGAAAGTCCTACGAAGCCCTGATCCTTCTCACTGAATGTCTTCAAGGATAAAATTTAAAGTGACCTTTCCGTGGTTACTTAAAAAAACCTCTCTGTATGAGACTGTTACTCAAGAACTCAAGATCCTGTCTATTAATATTCTGTCTCCAACTATGTCCCCTCTACTTTGCATGCCCATGTCCCTGAATCTTGGTTCAACCTTTTAACACTTGTCCTAAATGGTAAGACTAATTGATTGAAAAGTTCAGAGTGTAAACTTACTTTATAATCTCATCATGCTATCAGGTATCACTTTTTTCTTTAGAACAGAGGAAGAATTTGCAAATTAATAGTCATCTATACGTAAGAGATAAAGTGACAAATAGTTCTCCCACTCTCTAAAGAGAGACCCGTAATATATGTGATTATAAAATCTCTGAAAAGTACCTGTCTGCCTATACATTTTTGGAAGCTGAAATTTTTGGGTGCTTCAGGTCAACATGACCTTCCACCTTTAGCAAAGGGCACCCAGAGCTCGGGGAGCCAACAGCTTCAACTCTGACCTATGCTTTTGTAGCCAAATGATGTTGAGACATTATAATCACTCTTTTAAAAAAAAAAATTTTTTTTGTTTATTTACTTTTGAGAGAGAGAGAGGGAAAGAGAGAGAGAGTGAGTGGGGGAGGAGCAGAGAGACAGGGAGACATAGAATACTAAACAGGCTCCAGGCTCTGAGCTGTCAGCAGAGTCTGACGTGGGGCTGGAACTCAGGAACCGCGAGATCATGACCTCAGCTGAAGTCGGACACTTAACTGACTGAGCCTGCCAGGTGCCCCTATAATCACTCTTTTAAGGAAAATTCACTATAGCCTCAAGATCCTTGAGGCCACGTTTTCCTAAGATCAGGATTCAAAAATTTTGCACAGTACTGCCTACTAGAACTTTCAGTAAAAATAGAAATCTTCATGTACATTGTCCTATTTGGTAACCACTACCCACATGTGGCACCTGAGCACTTGAAATGTGTCTAGTGTGACTGAAATTAAATTTTGTATTGATCTAAATAGCTACATGTGGCTCATGAATACCATACTGAACAGCACAGGTTTCAATATATATTTAATTTGGTTGTCACATCAGGCAATAAAAAGGCTCTTCAAAAATGACAAATGTCACCATGGAGAGAAGGTGGCTGGTACAAATAATCCAATCATAAAAGACTCATTTTTGTTTTGGAATATGTGGCTAAATTTCACTTATTTAACATTTATACTTCTTTAATATTTTTTAATTGGAAATGTGGTGTCTATAAGGTACTAAAGTTTTAGTCTCAAGCTTCCTCTTCAATGCTTTTCCCTGAAGACCTTATAAAACTGCTTTAACTCCCAGTGGAATAACATCTTGTACACTATCATGGGACTTAACCTTATTAAATTACCATGTGTGAAATGCCCATAACTCAAGTAGTAGCAGGTGCAAAATAGAGCAGCTAGCGGGAGAGTGACAGTAATTTTTAACATCTATACCAGCTGGCAGAAACGACAGGTGCTTAATTCCTCAGTCTTTAAAAATAACTTTTGAAAGCCTGTGCTGCATAAGCAAATATTCTCAAATTTGTTTTTTTAACTACCTTCAAATTACCTTCCTGAAAAAAATGTAATATTATACACTGTGGGCCTCAAGGTATATATATATTTGAAACTTAGCATACAGGAACTTAATTTATTCCCCTCTATGAATAAAATAAACAATTATTAAATCAGGGAAATAAAAATTAGTTTTTGAGACTTCATAGTAATATTTCTCAAAAAACATATCAGAAAGAGCTCTTAACATATATTTTTCTAACTATATTTACATGTTTTTTTCTATACTGGCAAATAAAACTTGGAACTTCATAAACATTCTTTATCATAGAATGGATAAAGAATGTCTTCCTTTAAATTCTAAGTCTAGTGAAAACCATGAATCTATAGATTTATTTAGCGAACCAAGTCTATACCACCCCCTCCAAAAAAAGAGATTAAACAGCAAGTATCAGCAGTCCAGACTGAAGAGTTATGTTCCCTTAAATTATCAGAATAACTGAAATTAAGGAAGAGTATAATGATGGAATAATTCAGTCAATGATCTCAATTTTATAGTTCAATGAGTAAGCCCCAGACATGTAGGGGTAGGCCTGCTGAGAAGAAACAAAGTCAGACTTTTCAGGGACAGATCTTGAAGTTGCCCAGAAATGCTCAAAAAAAAAAAAAAGTAGAAATACTTCTCTTCTTCTTGAACTTTTAAAAAATAACAGAAGTTAAATTCCTTTGTCAGTAATCACATAGGTGGCCAAGAAAAATTTGAGTAGGAAATAAGTTGGGCTTTTCTTTCTATTCTTAAAAAAAAAAAACAAAAAAGCTTATCCTTTTCTGGGGTGCCTGGGTGGCTCAGTTGGTTAAGCATCCAACTCTTGATTTCAGGTCAGGTCACGATCTCATGGTTTGTGAGATAGAACCCGGCATCAGGCTGTATGCTGACAGCACGGGGCCTGCTTGGGATTCTGTCTCCTCTCTCTGCCCCTCCCTCATGCTCACTCGCACTCTTTCACTCTTTCTCTCTCTCAAAGTAAATAAACTTTAAAAAAAAAGAAAGATTATCCTTTCTGATTGTCTTCCTCCAACCTATGAAGGAGAAAATCAACTCATCTCATAATATTCATTGTGTAGGGTAAGAATAAGTATAATGCTATTAGAAGAGTAGTAATGGATAATAATGCTTAGTGGTACAATTAAAAAAATAAAAAGTGAATTTAAAAGTGATGGGCAGGGGCGCCTGGGTGGCTCAGTTGGTTAAGCATCGACTTCGGTGCAGGTCACGATCTTGCAGTTCATGAGTTCAAGCTCTGTCTGTGCTGACAGCTCAGAGCCTGGAGCCTACTTCAGATTCTGTGTCTCCCTCTCTCTCTTCCCCTCCCCTACTCATGCTCTGTCTCTCAAAAATAAATACACATTAAAAAAAGTGATTGGCAAAAAAATATTTGTGGAAAATTCTTAAAATATATATATTAAAGACTTAACCCATAACTTGTATAAAAGTGTGCTTAATGATAATCATTCGATGACCACTGGTAAGATTCACTGGAACCATAATTCAGCAGAAATGTTCAAATAGCAAACATGTACTTTCTCTTGCTTACTTTTCCATCGTCATCAGTTAGACTTTCTTAGGAAGACCTTGAGGGGCACCTTAAGGGGCAGGTGCTTTAGAGTCAAGGCTTGGGTTTGATCCTTACTGCTACTACTCCTGTAACAGCAGTAGCTGTGTGACCATGGCACAATCACTCAACCTTTGCAGGTCTCAAGTTTATCTCCCATAAAATGTCTTTTAAAAAGGAAGGATTGTTTTATGGATTAAAATAAATTAAGAATGTGAGGTATTTGGCATGTGGCAAGCACTCAACTATTTTTCTTCTCAGTTTCTTTAATACTATCCTCTGGGTTTATATGGAGTATTGAGTTAAATCTTTAATAACTCCCCATTACTGAGAGAATAAAATTCTGAAATTATCAAGACACACAAGAGCTTTTAGGAACTTTTTCAGTTTTGTCTCCTGGTATTTCTTCTTAATTACTCTTCCTCCCAATCATACTGAATGGTACAGTGGGTAAGAGCTCTGACTTAGGTTTCAATCTTTTCTGTCACATCCTAGATATGTAATATTGATTACATCATACATAAAATACAATACTTAGGAAGCTCCGCTGTGTGAGTTAAATGAGGCAATATAGATAGAGTGCCTATGGAAGAGCTATTTATTGTGAAATCTAAACAAAGGAAATGGTAGGTATTATAATCATCACCTCTTGAAATTGTTATGAAAGTTCCTACTGAGAAAAATTATTTCATATCATTTTTAATGTTTATTTATTTATTTTTGAGAGGGGCAAAGAGAGAAAGAGAGAGACAGAGAATCCCAAACAGGCTCCTTGCTGTCACCACAGAGCCTGACTCAGGGCTGGAACCCACAAACCATGAGATCATGACCTGAGCCAAAATCAAGAGTCAGATGCTTACTGACTGGGACACCCAGGTGTCTGTTACATCTAAGACTTTACTCAGCTATCACCTCTTCCATTGACCTTTCCTCACTTCATCCACCCAGAAATCCTCACCAATGTGTATCCTATAGTACCTTGTATCTATTACCATATGTATAATATAGCATAATTACTTGTTTGCATCACAACATATCTGTATCCCCAGAGTGTAGAACAGTGCCTGACACATGGTTAGCATTAAATAATTTTAAAAGCATGAATAAATAGATGAATGAAACT